AGGTGAAAGTCTGAAGAGAAGAGATTAAACTGCTTCACTGCACTTGTCTAAGAGATTTAAGAAAATGACTAAAAATGAATGTTCCAGAACATGCCGTTCATTTTATTTGTATTTTTTAAAAACTTTACTTTTTGCTCAAAAAAGAAAACTTAGACATAATACAGAATATTTAAACCTCTCAAATGAGTTTCAGATAATACTGAATACTGTCAGTGACCAAGAATCTGAACAAGTAGATAAGTAAAATGTGAGTAACCTGCACATCCAGAGGAGAGCAGTCATTCTTGATTTCATTCTCATCTTCATTTACTTTTCTTATAATCTGCCCAGTAACATATTTTCATACTGATCTGAGCATTTCATACTTGTACCACACAGAGCAAGAGTTACTGGTTTCCATTTCCATACCTCTCGAGATTGGATGTGTAGTAGATTTGTGGTTTAAAGATTTGCCACAATCGATATAGAGGAGATATTAGTAATACAGGTGGAAATAACACTCATGGCATCTTTTTGAAGGGTGTCAGATTGAATGATTGGTTTCTTTGTTCCCTGATTGCCAAGACTGAGAACAACGATTTAATAAAAACAAAAATGACAAATTTCCATTGCCTAGGGCTAGACTTGAGGTCTTTGTTAGCAATGACACAGACCTCAGAAGTTTAAGAAATACCCAGCTGCCAGTCAAAATGCTACAGATGTACAGACTTTGAAAAATGAACTGAATCTTAAGAAACCTCTACATGGCATTAGCAGCTGTCCCACCTTTGCTTTGATTATATTCATACAGTATAAAAGGTAGATTTCTGCTACAGTCAAGCAGTAATTGTAATAGAAGGTTCAACATGAACAGTCAGCATGAACTCTTTGGTAATGGTACGTGAATCAGTGTTAATGGCCAAGAGTAAATCATCATTACAGTGGGATGCAAAAGTTTGGGCAACCTTGTTAATAGTCATTATTTCCCTGTATAAATCGTTGGTTGTTACAATAAAAAATGTCAGTTAAATATATCATATAGGAGACACACACAGTGATATTTGAGAAGTGAAATGAAGTTTATTGGATTTACAGAAAGTGTGCAATGATTGTTTAAACAAAATCAGGCAGGTGCATAAATTTGGGCACTGTTGCCATTTTATTGATTCCAAAACCTTTGAACTAATTATTGGAACTTGGTTAGCTCAGTGACCCCTGACCTACATACACAGGTGAATCCAATAATGAGAAAGAGTATTTAAGGGGGTCAATTGTAAGTTTCCCTCCTCTTTTAATTTTCTCTGAAGAGTAGCAACATTGGGGTCTCAAAACAACTCTCAAATGACCTGAAGACAAAGATTGTTCACCATCATGGTTTAGGGGAAGGATACAGAAAGCTGTCTCAGAGATTTAAGCTGTCTGTTTCCACAGTTAGGAACATGTTGAGAAAATGTGGCTGACCAAGAAAAATCTCGGATAGACAGAAGCGACGAATGGTGAGAACAGTCAGAGTCAACCCAAAGACCAGTACCAAAGACCTACAACATCATCTTGCAGCAGATGGAGTCACTGTGCATCATTCAACCATTTGGCACACTTTACAGAAGGAGATGCTGTATGTGAGAGTGATGCAGAGGAAGCCTTTTCTCCGCCCACAGCACAAACAGAGCTGCTAAAGCACATTTTGACAAGCCAGCTTCATTCTGGAATAAGGTGCTGTGGACTGATGAAACTAAAACTGAGCTATTTGGGCATAACAAGGGGCGTTATGCATGGAGGAAAAAGAACTCAGCATTCCAAGAAAAACACCTCCTACTTACAGTAAAATATGGTGGTGGTTCCATCATGCTGTGGGGCTGTGTGGCCAGTGCAGGGACTGGGAATCTTGTCAAAGTTGAGGGACACATAGATTCCACTCAGTATCAGCAGATCCTGGAGAATCAGTGACAAAGCTGAAGCTGCGGCGGGGCTGGATCTTTCAACAAGACAACGACCCGAAACACTGCTCAAAGTCCACTAAGGCATTCATGCAGAGGAACAAGTACAACGTTCTGGAATCTCCGTCCGCAGACCTGAATATTATTGAAAATCTGTGGTGTGAGTTAAAGAGAGCTGTCCATGCTCGGAAGCCATCAAACCTGAATGAACTAGAGATGTTTTTTAAAGAGGAATGGTCCAAAATACCTTCAACCACAATCCAGACTCTCATTGGAACCTACAGGAAGCGTTTAGAGGCTGTGATTTCTGCAAAAGGCGGATCTACTAAATATTGATTTCATTTCTTTTTTTGTGGTGCCCAAATTTATGCACCTGCCTGATTGTTTAAAAAATTATTGCACACTTTCTGTAAATCCAATAAACTTCATTTCACTTCTCAAATAACTGTGTGTGTGTCGTATGATATATATATATTAGGGGTGCAACGATACAAAAAATTCACGGTTCGGTTCGATACTTTGGTGTCACGGTTCGATATTTTTTCGATGCTAAAAAATGTTCATGCCTTTTTAATTTGTCATTTATTAAAATTATAAATATATATTTAACTCAAAGGTACAGTTTATAAATTTAATGTTGCTGAAACAACAAAATAAAAATAAAAAATCTGATCGAGAAATCACTCATCTTTGGAAAAGAGTTTATTACAGAGAATAATAGGGCTATATTCTCAGCAGCATATTAAACATATCAGGTCCCCATAAGGAGAATCGTGTGCTAACGGCTGTCTAAATGACTCGGGTAAAGTTTGTAGCATGCCTTCTTGTGTCACGGTGGTGGACGGACTCAGGCACAGACTGAGGTAGCACGGTTCAACAACACTTTATTAATCACTCCAGTGCGCTATGTACACGTGAAGGGGGGGGGGAACACCAGGGTCCCGGGGATCAATAGGGGGGAAACACATTTCTTCACACTTGCTCCGCTCCTTGTCCAAACACTCCTCACAGAGCAACCCACTCACACTCACGGGGTCCAGGAATCAAAATGGGCGGGTCCAGATAAACCTATAAACATAGACGAGGGTAAGTCGGAGGCAAGCACGGGAACAACTAATTCACAATGAAGCCAGGCAATACTGACGAGGGTCACTCAATATTCCAGCGAAGAATAGCTCAGAGCCACAGCCTTAAGAAGAGCCAGAGATCAACTGCAATTCACTCGAGATCAGCTGCAGGTGCGTG